GAGAGCAGTCCTGGGGAGAAGGATTTGGGCACGTTGGTGGATGGTAAGGTCAACATGAGCCAACAGTGTGCGCTTGCAGCCCAGAAAGCCAACCGTATCCTGGGATGCATGAAGAGATGTGCGACCAGCAGGTCGAGGGAGGTGATTCTGCCCCTCTGCTCTGCCCTTGTGAGACCCCACCTGGAGTACTGTGTCCAGCTCTGGAGCCCACAGCACAAGAAAGACATGGAGCTGTTGGAGCGAGTCCAGAGGAGGGCTACCACGATGGTCAGAGGGCTGGAACACCTGCCCTATGACAACAGGCTGAGAGAGTTAGGCTTGTTCAGCCTGGAAAAGAGAAGGCTCTGAGGACACCTAATAGTGGCCTTCCAGTACCTGAAGGGGGCCTACGAGAAGGCTGGGGATGGACTTTTTACAAGGGCCTGTAGTGCCAGGATGAGGGGTAATGAGTGGAAGCTGGAAGAGGGTAGGTTTAGACTAGGTGTAAGGAAGAAGCTTTTTACCCTGAGGGTGGTGAGACACCAGGGAGCTTGTGGATGCTCCATCCCTGGAAGTGTTCAAGGGCAGGTTGGATGGAGCCTTGAGGAATCTGATCTAGTGGGAGATGTTCCTGCTACGGCAGGCGAGTTGGAACTAGATGATCTTTGAAGTCTCTTTTAACCCAAATCATTCTATGATATGACTCTATGATTCTCTTCTGGTCCAATGCTATCACATTAGGCCTGGACATCCACTCCTGAGACCACAGCTCAAAGTCCTGCTTCTTCTGCTTTGCAGCTGAGGACAGATTCTTAGATTAAGAGAGGAGATTGTGATACTGAAGTGGAAATCAAGACATGCAGTATTCAAATTCAGTGCCATGCATGATAAGAGTTAAAACTCAGTAACTCAAGAAACCTGAGAAAATTATTTACATCACTACTGCTGGACTTAAGCGCCTGGACTTAGGCACCAAGTGAGAATTTACCCATCTGTCTACATGTATATTAGTTTATATTATATGGATATATGTTATACATATTCTATATAAAATACATATATTTTGTAATCCCATCCAACTTTCAAAAACAATACTGCAACTAGGGGACAACTGACTGGGATTTTCAGAACTACACAGCTCTCTCTGGAAGTGTACTGAAAATCTATGAGTGTCAGGTCCCTAAGCTACCTGGACACTTCTATAAATTCTGTCCTGTATAACTGCACATTGAGAACTGAACTGAATTACATTAAAATGCCAGTGAATCATCTTTATTTTTAAAGGAGACTTGACATCTTCTGAAAAAACACAAATTCCATTTACAGGTTAATGTATTTTGCTTGTATGAAACCAGTTAGCTGGGAAAACTAAAACTTGAGGTACATTTTTTAAAAAATATTTAAAATTAAGGAGTATTTACTAACCTACCATTTTACCAAGCGCACTCTGGAATGCATCAGTAAAGCTATTTAGAAGATTGTTGTCATCACACTGCGTTGCTTTGTAGAGCATCTCAAAGGATTTGAACCCATGGTTTGCGAAACGATTTACTGAAAAATGTTAGGAGAAATAAATTTTTACTGGTCCGTGCAAGAGCTTCAGAGCTAAAAGCAAGATTGTTGAGGCTGAAACTGGAATACACTAAGTAAAGAAGTCTTGTCTTTTTAACAGTAACCTAAATTCCCATTATTGTATACCTGAAAATGGGTCACTCATAACTCAGCAAATGCAGTTGAATATGACCCTTGGGCAGGCATTAATTTCTTGGAAAAGCTAAGTGGCATTAAAGTATATTTCAGCATTTTCTTAATAGAAGAAACTTGTGAGCTATCAATTAAACTCTGTACTTACTTTTTACTGAGAGAGAAGCAATAAATATTAAATGTCCAATTAGTAATACTGCTAGGCTAAATATGAAAACTTGTCATCCAGAATCTAAGCAGATCAAAGTTCCTAAGTGTCCAAGTAACGGATTTTGAATTGACAGATAGCTCTGAAACATGACTCTCATTTGTTCATAATTGAAAAGCTGCTTTTGTTTGTTGAAACAATGAACTCATTCTGAGGGAAGTGGAAGTAACATGGTGCCACGACGGGCTTCCAATCTAGTTTTAATGTATTTCTTATCAAAATGTCACCAGAACTGTGAAATTCCACAGCTGAAATTTTGCATTTGTCCACCTCAAAGAAAACACATATATGTTTCTGATTTTATGGTAATTTGATATGTAACTACAGCATGTACAGTGCTTTTGGATCAATAAATCGCAAATACTGCTGAAATTTGGATTGAGAAGACACTGTTACAGGCTTTGTAAAAAAACTGTTTCAAATACCAATCCAGAATAATGACAGACTTGGGCTACTTTGTCATCTTTGCTATTTTATAATTCCCAGGATTCAAATTCACTGTTAATTCTGTGTTTTAGACAGCTTCTGAAATAACACATTTAGGGCCTTCCTGGCATTCTTTCATCATATTACTAACAATTTCAAGGCAAAGGATAGAGAAGGTTTGTTACCACTAAAAAGAAGTCATAATTTCTAAAATATTTTCATTTACTTCCTCATTAAATATAGTGTTTGATGTGTTGCAGATTCATTTTAGTAATAGTAAGACATACAAGAGCAGCCAGGCCACTCTGGAGAATAAGGTGGCTTCCAGACACCATCCTCATATGCACAATAGTAGTTTTCACTTGATCCTTCTGAAAAGCTATAGCCATCTGCACAGCGCAATGTGCAGTTAACTCCAGCTTCATCTGATGTGCATATAAAATCACCATTCACAGGCTCAAAGGAGATTTCACAGGGTGAACCTATGAAAAATACAAAGATTTATATGTTGATGAATATAGCACTCAGGAAAACAGCGCTGACAGAGTTTTCAAAAATACCTAGTAACAACCTGATTTTGCCTCTGTTGAATTATGTGGAGGTACTATTTGTTACTTCCATAAAGGCAAGATCAGGTCACTGCTAAATTATTCTCAACCTCTGCCACTGGAATTTGAAATCCAGAAATGTGAAGACTTAAAAAACCTGTGATACATACGAGAAAGCAAAAATTTCTATGAATTTCCTTACATTGTATTCTAGTAAACTGCATTACATCTTGAATTCTGAAATTAGACTATATCCATACCGTACTACTGCAACAACACATGGACCTGCCAGAATCATCTTAGAAGGGACTGACTGTAAAACTTCAGTTAAGATTTATTTTACAGGCCAATTGTGAATGAGATTGTGAATGTCTGAAAACACTATGTCACAAACACTGAACCACAAGAAGTCTGAGGTGTGTAGAACTTGAAATAAAGCCTAAATATTGGCTTGTTCTTGCTAAGGTTTTTGCAGATAAGAAATTAGGACATCCATTTGCAACTTAGCTTTACTAAAACCTATAACCAAAATTAATTTATCTCTTCACTAATAGATTTTTTACACAGATGTTCAACTGAGACATTAAGCACTACAGAGCACAAATGAAGTAAAATTTTCATCCTTAAGACTATGAGCCAAATTACTCTTCGACGTTTAAAGAAGAAAGTGGGCTGTGGGGAAAAGTTGTCTATACAATACACAAATGCATCAGTATATCTATAGGTATAGACAGCTTCTAAAATCTAAAGTGTGTTCCAGTATCTGCTACAGTATTTTAGGTGATTATAAAAATGTTTCCATGTTTTCCTTTTTATCCATAGATTTGTAGCAGGATCTGTGTAACACGTACCAATTCATTTCACATGGTGTCTGTTACTGAGAAAAACACCCTGTCAGTTTTAATGCTTAATGAATTGTAATTTCAGTGCTTTTACACCCATAGGACCAAAGTAATTCCTGTGCTCCTTCAGTCTTAGACAATTTATTAATAGGTACTACCAAACATCCTGTTCAATATCTAATACGAAGTTACTGCAGTATAAAATGAGAATAACTAAAAAAAAAAAAGTTAAGATTAAACGAAAAATTGGAGTAGCATTGGATGCTTTATGATACTCAGTCAAAACAATGCCATACACTCCTGACCAGATTAAGACAACAAACCTTTGATGACAATGTGGATCACACATGTTCTGTTATTGCCAGAGGGATCCATGGCTGTGTACTGAACTGTTGTCTCTCCTTTGGGAAAGAGATCTCCAGGTGCATGACTCCTAGTGATTGTTAGTGGAGCACCTAGAGAGATAAAAGACAATCTGCAACATCAGTAAGTAAAAGAGTTGCTCACATTCGAGCCCCAGCCTTGAAAAATGGAGAAGGAAGTCGCAGCATGTCTTCCAAATTATGTATTCTTAAAAATAAGCACTTTAAAGAAAACTCAAAAAATCCTAAATTCCAAGGAAACTGGAGTGAACACATTGGAGTTCCCTAGCCTGCCATTGTTGTGTGCATATTTTGCAGTGCACCATCTCACCTGAATTGTCTGAAAATTGTGGTTCTTCCCATGTCACTGGGTACTCGTTCTCTACTGCTTGCATGGGTGGTGGAGATCTGCATCTGTCAATTACAGGAGGTTCTGTATCTGCAGAATTTGAAGAGATGGCATGACATTAGCTTACTGAACTGCTGCCACACTGAAATGAAATCTATCATCAGAAGTCAGGTAAACAGCAGTTTTAAGTTCACATCAGAAGATACAACAAAGATAAGTGCACACTTCTAGGCTGCTGCAATTGATGTTAAGGGAATGGACAAGACTAATTCTTGCGCTGAACTCAGGGTTTCTGCATTTTGTTTGCTTTCTAAAAAGCAAACCTTGCTTAACAGGACTGCTAAATAACACAACTGTCTGACAGAAATACTTGACCAATGATTTATATTAGCAATGTGCAGGAACTTTGGAAATTTTGTTGGAGTCTTTCAAACAAGAGAAGTAAACAATCCATATGATAATGGTGGTGCCAATACAATAAAGTATTTATCTACCAGTATAAGGATAAATCTTAGCTTTCAGAATGAACAACAGAACAGAACAGAATCCAAACTGAACATCTGGGAGCAATGACTGCACACTATGCAAACTATGACCCAAGATCAGCAAAACATGTGGAAGTGATATGACTCCTGGGCTTATACCTGCACACGTAAAGGCACAAATAAAGTGACTCACTGTCTCTTTCTGCACAAAATTAGGGGAACTCAACCATGACAGACTCTTCCCAATAATTTTTACCAGCACTTACCAATAACCTTGACACTGAAGGTACAGCTTGCCTCATTGCCTGACTTATCAGCTGCTGTGTAAGTAACGGCAACTTCGCCAATTGGGAGAAGAAATGGTGGTATGAAAGCTGGGGTAACGCGAACTGAGACCTTATATAGGAAAACACTTGTTATTTAAAAAACAAAGCTGGTTAGTAATCACAACATTCAAGTTTCAAGGAATGGCCACAAAACAGTATCCTTCAATGCTAAGCCTACTTATTCTTAATACAAACAGCCTCCTCAAGCAACGAAGGTGAACTTTGCAACAGAGGATATTCTGCCACCCTTCACAAGACTGCCTTCTTAATAGCAACAGGGATTTACTCAGTCAAGATCTGGACCCTGGCCTGCTGCAGTTCACAGCACCGTGCCTTCACAAAACTTAACACTGACTCTTGTTTGTCTCACTGCACTGAACACGCACTCTGCCAGCTCAGGACGTGCTTTGTCTGCACTTCAGCTGTTCAGTTATAAGGCTGGCAAATCTGGGAGATCAGTGGAACAGGCAGTTGTGAGCTATAAGAACTCAGAGTTTTAATCTAAATGTGTTTACTGGTCAGTAGACCACAGATGCCTCAAAACCTTTTGGCACAGCAAAAGAACCCTACATTTGGAGCCAATGACACTTGCACGCGGTCTACGGCTCTTTCATATGGGTTAGAACTGTGTTAAAAAACTTCTCTTTAAAAGAATTGTTTTCATGTGAACAACACAGCTTATCTGACAACCGTGGCCTTGACAAACAAAGTTACAACTAAGAGCTAAGGCATTTGGTTTCTACAGTTCAATAAATGACCCTGTGTCAGCAGAGCTAGAGTACCTGCCATGGCTATGCTGCAGTAAAAAATGTGTGAACTTAAACCTCTTTTACCAGGATAGCCCACAGTCTCCAAGTGCAAAAAAAATCCTGTTTACAGCAAATTAAAAGCACACACAGAGCAAGTGTTCCTCTCCTGACTCGTGACAAAGCATTCAGCTTCAGTAACTTGACCACGTCTGAAACAGCTGTATGTAACAGCTCTGGATTAAGTTTTCCTTATAACTCCACTTCCAGACCTCTGATACCCATCGTACCCAAAAATCCATGTTTGAACCTTGCATCAGATACGAAAATGAGATTTTTCTTTCTCACTTGGTAAGCTGAAGTGAGGTTTTACTTGTCACAGTGTGTTCTTGTTAGCCTTTTAGATTAATGAACTGGTTTACTTCCTTCTGAAAAAAGTTTATTAAACTTCTTCACATTCTAAGAGCTCATTTTCAAAGCAGCTGCCTCCATCTTATAAACAAGGGCACATTCTTTCTTTTGACTACATAAATTAACCATATGAGATTTTATGCACTTCAAAACCATGCAGAGCATCCTGTGACTGCATAACCCTAACCAAGGCAGAAAATGCTGAATTCTCAAAACACAAACTTTTCAACAGATTTTTCTTCTACTCCTGCTTATCAGAAGAAAGAAATTCTAGTGGATGATAAAATTAATTTGAAATGGCTATTTGCAGAAAGACTCTGTCCAGTCAAACATACAGATTTTAACTTGCCTCGTCTCCAGAGTTATCCTCAGCTGTTGGTATCTGCCAGCTGATATTACCAGAGTTATGATGTTCCAGAGTCTCAGTCTCAATGTTTTCTGGGCAGTGGATCTGAGGAGCTTCAATATCTGATCCAGAAAAAGATAATCTCGTTTTGTATGTGGGATTAGAGAAATAAAACTTCTATAATGGTTAGGCTGCAACTTGCTATAACCACTATTTTTTGTACTGTCTGGAATGTAAATGTGTATATTTTTGCCAGCTTACTGCAAATGCCCCTTTTTCATTCCTGCCTACAGGCTCACACAGAAACAGTAAATTCTCCTGGGAAAAGGACTCTATATTGCTGTATTTTTGTACATCACTGAGCAAAATGAGACTCTGGCTTCCACATGCAAGCATAAACCAATGAATAAACACGACAGAATGAATTTGTTTCTCTTATTACTCATTCATTCATAGCACACATAGACTCAATAAGGAATGGCTTCTCTATCCTTCCACTGCCCACACATGACACATACAAATGAGAACACTTGTTTCTGATAATCAGTAACTTAAAGAAAAGTATGATAGCATGATACATGTATGACAAACAGGACAGACGTGACTCTCAAATTCCCTGGATCATGGTACAGAATCGACTTGAAAGAAACAATAGCAAGATATCTGGCACCAGCTGCTGGAAATGTTCCTTTAACAAACTCCTTCTACAAGGTATTATGCAGGACAATTGAAGTCTTCTTGTTGACGTACGTGACAATGCTGGATGGTTTCAAATGACTGGTGGTAAAACATATGTAACATCACCACCACCATTTAAGCCTTAAGCTTATCTGACAAACTTAAAGTGTTTCTTTATTTCCCTGGCACATAGCCTCTCAAAACATTTGTGGTCAGGTTATTTTATTGCTGTAGTGTTGTTTGATTAATCGTTTCTAGACATATGAGCCTTCAGCTCTGAACGCACCTATGCCCACGAGGCTTTAAAACAACTTAGAGCTGATATCACTTATATTTTTATTACTGAATATTTGCAGTAGAGACATAATTCAGGCAATTAAATCTCTGTTATTAAGGGTGCAAACAATAAATACAACTGATTTTGCCTTCATCTGAACTCATTCTGATGAAAATTTTATTAGACATGCACTCTTTTAAAAAAGTACTAGTTACGTTCTGCACTCGCCTGACCATAGCCTTTAGGCTGAGGCAAATTCCATTTGTAAGTGAAATTCTGTAAAAAGACTAATAAATAAATCAGAAAGAAAATTGCCATTTGACCTGGCCAAATACAGAGAGACAGTAACAAGAGCGAAAGCAACTGTTCCTTTTTACTAGAGAAGAATAACCTTTGGAGTTTCTTGGTGGCTCTTATTTTAGGGTTTTATGTTCTGGTAATAACTAAAAGCTTGAACCCAGGCCATGCTGCTTTATCATGATCCAAAGAGTGCAGCTTGTAGCCTGTGCTGGGATCCCATCAAATATTAAAAACTGCGGTTTGGCACAGGTGTACACAAAAGATCCAGAAAAACAATATGGTACATCACAGAGAGGGAAATAGTATGTTTAAAGAGAGGGATAAAATCTCCCTGGACATTATAGACAAAAAAAGTTACCACTGTTTCTGTCAGGGCCTGGTATGATGACTGCTATAATTGTTTTCTGTAAATGTTCTTTCACCCAGTAAAAACCTGGAGAGGGCCTCACTTTGGGGTGGAAGTGTTAAGTTTTAGGAGCTCAGTGGTGCACAAAGAGTTGAATTCCCAGATAAACTGCACTTGTGCTTGTATCCTCCTATAAGCCAAAACCAAGCTCCATCCAACTCAGTGTGCATGTTTGTAAGGGAATATATAACCTAAAATATCTAGAAGAGGTGGGTAAACATACCAGAACGATACACAAATGCACACAACCATCTTCAGCCCATCTTTATATTCCATCAGCCAATTTTAGCCTTAAATCTTGTGCACTGCTACTCAAGGCACGTCAACAGCCATAGTCCATTCAAAGACAACTGCGATGAACCACCTCTCTGTAGTCTATCAGGCAGAGTTTACACAGCGTTTACAGACTGGCTCTGGCTTACATAAACCTGTGCTAAATCAGTAATAGTATTGTTATCGTTGTTTTACTAGGAGTGTAGGTTCCACTTTGACTATCTTTAAGCTAAGAGCTTTCGCTTCTACTTTGAAATTTTCAATCTACCTGCACATCAGGCTTTTTAGCAGGCAGCAGGCCCAATGAGATGGATCTCAGGAGCGACAGTTGATCATGAGTACTGTAGGATGGCACTCAGGCAAGCCCTGAACTCCACATTCTTATTACAAGCAAATCTGACAGCCAAGGTATAATGGTACAGGCAATGCTTCTTACATGCTGTTTAAATCACACTTTCCCCAGTTTAAACTTGTCCTCACTCAGTTATTTGCTGTGTGCTTCCCTTCAATCCTGCACATGTGAACACAGAAATGATTTTGTGCTGGTCTCTACCTTTACACAGAGCCTCCTGGATGTTTGCACTCCATTTCCCAAATGAAATGCACCTTAGTTCTTCTCTAGCTCCAGACAAGACGAATCCCTGGGGACAGCTCAGTTGGCACACAGTCCCAGAAGTGGCAGGCTCCAGCCCACATTCGGGAGGGTGAACTGTTACACCTGCTGGTCTCTGGAAGATGGGGCAACGCATTTCTACAAGAGATGAGCAAGACATATCTTTTAACTGACATATACAAAGCCCACTTTCAAAAAAAATCGCAAATAAAGTCATATGGCAACTCAGAGGGAACACATTTCTAAGAGTCCACATATGCTATAAGTGCATCAAAACAGTATGTGTGGTACTGCAGTACTGACTGAAGTAAGCAGTACACTTTTCATGCAGGTTCATTCTGTTCCTTTTCCTTTTTCCTTTTCCCCTTTCCCCTTTTCCCTTGCCCTCCCCCCTTCCCCTTCCC